ACCTGAGGGTGGGTGCGGCGGTGGTGGTGGCTGGTCGGCCGCGAAGGAAGAGGCTGGGTCGCCACTCCAATTTGCAATTTGTGTGTCCGAACGATGAAGAATCGATCTGATCTGCAATTTGCAATTTTCAATTTATGGATATCTGAATTTGATATGAAGAGGAAGATAAGAAAAAAAAGATATTACCTTCCTTGTATGAAAGAGAACGCAGAAGGGAGAGGAGGTCGTGCGCGGCTGACTGGCGTAGAAGAGCAGAGCCGGAGATAGGAACGAAAAAAAAGAAAAAGTAAAAAAAACATCTTAAATAGGGAGGCAACAATGGAGGCAGTGGTGGGTGCACTGTAGCACGGTCCAATTTTAAAAAGTTGTTTTAGTACTCTACATGAATTGGACTTAGAGTTTAAGTAATCCGATGTATTGGACTTAGAGTTTAAAGAATTTTTTTTAGATTATAAAATTTTATAAATATTCAATTCAAATTTTAAAAAGTTGTTTGAAATCTGAATGTATTCCATTCAGATTTTAAAAACTCATACTACCTCCGTCTCATTGTCTTTGTCCACATTTGACTTTTGGAATTGTTCATCTAAGCACTTTGACTCATCAAATTCTCTTAATGTGTAAGCTTAAAAATAGTCATGTATGATTTTGTTTGATTCGTCTTAACATATAGATTATTAATATATAATTTGTATAATTTTTTAATATACAAATTACAAGATAAAATGGATTAAAGAAGTGCGTTGGATGGTGTGCCAAAAGGTAAGTGGACAAACACAGTGGGACGGAGGGAGTATAAAATACAAATATATTCAATTTAAATTTTAAAAATTCTATCTAAACTTAATGATATTTAACACTTCATGAATTTTTTAACATTTGTACTCTACAAGAATTTTAATGAATTGAAGGTAGAAATTATAATAAAATCCCTACTCTCAACCAAAGATTTAAGAATCCAAGTTCGATCGTCTCCTCTCTTTCATGGACATCAAATCTCAAGGTCGTCACAGATCCTGGGTAATTACCCAATTGCCGTTGTCTTCCTCTTCTTCGATGCCTCTCCATCGATCCAGAAGCTCTCTCCTCGTAGCCTCTTTCTTCGACATTTTCAGTTGAACTATAGGCTCCCACTCGCTCTGCAAATCAACCCAGTGTTCATCTTATTCTATTTTAAGGAGGGAAAACATACATGTTCCATTCCGTACGTGGTAAACGCAAATTAGCAACTTCGATTTCTCAATCTCTGTCGGGGACTCGTGCGACGTCACAGATCTTAGCAGTTGGGCCAGTAAGTGACACAGATCAGATGCGATTGCTACCACTGAAAGTATCCCTGCTGGTCGAATCAAGATGGAGCTCTACGCCGATGACGCAGATCAGACACGAGTTGGATGAATCGACGTCCAGAGCTATGAACTTTCAGATTGCGACGAAAAGATGAATCGCGACATTGTGTTAGATTAACCAATCCTTCTAAAATTCGTGGATTGACAAATTCTTTTAAAATCCTATTCATACAATCTCTCCAACTTTACGTGGAGTTAAATCAATCAATGAATTTCATATAATCCATAGAATCTATCAAAATCTTTTAAAATCTAAAATGAATACACCCCCTAAACTTGTGTCCATGTGGTTTTGGATGGATAAATATTAGAATAACAAAGACACAAATTACAATATATACCAATTTTTTATTTATGTAACTTACCTAGAGATTAAAATGATTATAAATAATCAAGAAATAAAAAATTAAATATCTACATAATAATTTTGTGTATTTTATTACTCGTATTTTTATACTTGCCACTCTAGTATGTCTCTTTTCAATAAGGTGAAAGTGTGCGATATTATATACGGAGTATTTTATTATACATACAATATTATTTTTTATTTGTAAATGATAGAACCTTGAGACCTAGATATTTCGCTGGATTCACATATTCCAATTCGATATTAGTGTTTAGTCGCAATTTGCACTCAATTTCTAATCAATCACGCTTTCCTCGTGGACTCGACATCCCGTACTTCCAACACTTACTCATCCATTTACTTTTTCCATATTTTCTATATTTCCACTTCATTTCATTCATTTCTTTTTTATCAGGAGTTTTCGGTATCCAACGACGTATCAAAGATTCTCCCGTTATCAACCAGAGCCCCCAGTCTTTATCCTCATTAGTCATCATTCATCCTCGAGGTTGGCAGTGGTTGCCGAGGTAAACACGTAAGAGCTATAGGGTGGCAATGCATTGTCTGGTGTTGGCCCTCGTCCCTCATTTGGACGGAGTCAAGGTACCCGACCGACGTGTGATGGCCCGCTCACGAGAGCCTCTTTCAACTATTTTCTCTAATGTATCCACCTTCTGAGGCGAGCTCATGAGGACTTGGTCTCGTGAAGACCATACCTTGTATGATTTTCAATGTTTGTAATTTGTAAATTACACTCCCTTTATTTAAAAAATAATGTCATACTCTGAGCACCATACAAAATCTCATCTATATTGAAATAATTTTATTTACAAATTCATATAGAAATTAAAAGTATACATTGCATATTTCAAAAGTACGTCAAAAGATTTATATAACAAGATGCGGCAAGAATATTTTAATTTTTAAAATAATTGATGAAAAGATACAAATTTGAGGCGATATTTATGGGGATTGGAGGATGTACAATATACTACCTCGTCTTATATTATTCGTCACAATTGCCTTTATTTAGTCAAATTGTACAAATTTTGACATCAATTAAATAAAAATTATACT